CATTTGCTGTCATGTTAAACTTATATTAAAGTTTTTCTTCATTACCCATTTAAGCCGTCTCCAGCCATTATTAGTCTCAAAGTGGGTTCCTCGTCATCGAAAATAATATATATATATATATATATCCTGACACGTACATCTAAATTACTGTCGTAAACGTGTATCCTAATTTATAGTTAAATATTTGAAATTATAAGCTATATTAATATAGAATGCATGAATTAAGAGAATTTGAATACTATAACCAATGAACATCAGTTATTGTATCCATGAGAAACAAAATTATATTTGAAATTTTTGTTACTTCTCATATTGAACTATAAACATCATCTATTGTTTCTGTTAAACATCAAAACAACAGCGTGGTTAAAGTATTGTATCAGATTTTTTGCGAAAAGATAAATAATGGGCTATTCGCGCATAGCCCTTCCTGATTTTTATTTCATAAACAAGATGTAAGTCAACTAGTTAATAACACCCACTGCCAGCACTTTGACTAATCTTTTCTAATCAGATAGTGAGATTTGACCGTATGTCCCCATAGTGCCAGCACGTTTTTACAGCAACAGGCCTAGAACCACGAACCCTCGGATTCACAGTCCAATCACGCTAACAAATGGATACAGATGCCAGTGGTAGTGGAATTGGCATAGTTTTATTACAGGTACATGATTGTTTTGAGCATATACACTGACTGCTCTTGAATGCCAATACTTATATCATTACCATGGACTTGTTCATATGGACCATTCTTCATTGAAATGGCCAATGAGCTTCAAAAATCTAAAAATTATGAATGCGATGCGGATAACGACACGAATAAAACATCCTTAAAAACACTGTTTGGGTCAATAGCACATAAATGATGACATATTTTCTCATCAGCCAGTGAGATTACTTATATTCATTGAATGTTCAGACCCTAGACACCACACAGCAGTTAAAATCATTACAGCAACAATAGTACCAATTATATATGAATGTTGATAATTCTGCATTTGGATGGACACCACGAATGATCAGTGAAGAACTTCAAGGGTAAATGAAATAACTAGACGTAACTTGGGCGCTGCTTGCCTTGCAGCAAGATAAAGCATGCCCACCACACACTGGTGAACATAGTACTGGACACTCAATACCTGATACTCGAACCATCAAGACATTGTAGCCAACCTATGGTTTATATAGTGGTCCCCAGAGCTCTAAAGAATGAAATACTTCAGCTTTTGCATAATGCAAGGATTGAAGTGCACCAAGGAGTGTCATGGACTGCTGCAAACATGCATTTTTTTTACTTTCTTTCTGCATTTGCGTCAATATATTGAGCAGTAGTGTAGGCATTTTACCATATTTGCTATTCAGAAAAAAGCACTCCTTCAGAGAGGTGTATATTCTCTTATTGAGAGAATTCTTCTCGATACTGCTGGTCTTCTACTCAAAACTTAGGAAGGTAATTGGTACTGTTTACTATTATCAACTACTTCGCCAAATGGGCTGCAGCTTATTTGTTGGATGACTTGTTAGTGCAGTGCAAGACATGTTAGCTAACGAATGGGTATCACACTGT